AAAAAAAAAAAAGGTGTAATTCAAGACACCATCAGTAATAACAATGGTTAACCATAAATAAAATGGTTTAAAGAACTCATCATATGAATTGGTCATCCTCATTCTAATTTTACAGATTGAGACAACTGGAATTAGAAATCATGATAAAAAAAAAAAAGAACAGCAGCCAGCTGTGGTGGTGCATGCCTGTAATCCTGGTACTCTGGGAGGCTGAAGCAGGAGGATAATGAATTGCAATCTAGCCTGTGACACGGGGAATGGAACAACCCAGGGCCTTTGCTTGGAGCTGCATCCACCGCCCTTTTTTTTTGAGACAGGCTCTCACTAAGTTACTACCATGTCCAGCTAACATTTTTAACTCAACAGTTGAATACATGATTTGCACAGAATTGGGATGAGTCATTTGTTCTAAGACCCTGTTACACAAAAGCCTTTAGTACAATTGAATGATAAAAGCCTAGAGAAGCCAAGGCAGGTGTGGTGGTGCAAGCCTGTGATCCAGCATACTGGGAGGCTGAGACAGGAGGATCACAACTTCAAACCCAGCCTGGGCAACTTAATGAGACTCTGTCTCAAAGTTTAAAAAGGACTGGGGCTGGGGATTTAGCTCAGTGGTTTCGCCGCCTGCTGCGCAAGCGCAAGGACCCGAGTTTGATCCCCCGGTACCAAAAAAAAAAAAGTTTAAAAAGGACTGGAGGAGGGCTGGGGATTTAGCTCAGAGGTACTTGCAAGCGCAAGGTCCTGAGTTCAATCCCTGGTACCAAAAAAAAAAAAAGGACTGGAGGGAGGAATAGCTCAGTGGTAAAGCACCTATCTAACACACTCAAGGCTCTGGTTTTAATCTCCACCACTGCAAACATCTCTGCTCTCATACAACTGTGTTACCCCACCTTATGCTGTTTATTGTCACCAGTGAAATCTTTATATATCGTTTGGTTGTTACATATAATTAACGATTATTGCTTTGTGCAACTGTCTTTTAAATCCTAAGAATCATAAAAAGCAGGTAAAAACAAAAACTGGAGCCAGGCATGGTAGCACATGCTTGCAATCCAGCCCTCAGGGAGGCCAAGGCAAGAGAATCACAAGTTTGAGGTCAGCCTGGGCAATTTAGCAATTTAATGAGCCACTGCCTCAAAATAAAAAGGGCTAGGAATAACACTCACTGCCAAGGCCCTGAGTTCAGTCCACAGTCCGGGGGGGGGGGGGGGGCCAGGATTGGGGGCATAGCTTGGTGGAGAATCCATGCTTAGCATAGACAAGGCCCCAGGTTTGATCCCCAGCACTGAGAAAAAGAAACTATAATACAAGGGAGTTTTTGTGTGTGTGGTTTTTGTTTTGTTTTGTTGTAGTCAAGTGAAGCAGTGGAAATAAAGAAGAAACAAATCTGAAACTGGTTGTGACCAATTGGGTTTTAATGCCACCGCCCTCAGACCAGCATTATACTGGCTTTTGTATTTACATATGTAGTTTATGGCTTTGAATTTCTGTCTAGTAGTATTCTTTTCAACCCGAGGGATTTCTTTTACTATCCACTCTCCATCCCCTCTCTCCTTTTCTGGAAGAGACCTTTCAGGTCCCCTCTAAGACATTCTGAATCTAAGCGGATGATTCCAAAGATGAGCCTCTAGCTTGGTCTCCTACCTCTGTCTTCTTGGGAGAAGGAAACTAATCTCACTGAGTCTCCTGAGCTCCAAAGACGCTTGGGCTGAGTCTCTTTTTTTTCTTTCTTTTTTTTTGGGGGGGGGGGGGTCTGTGGATCAAACCTAGAGCCTTCACACTGAGGTACATCTTCAGCCCTTTCTGTTTTTTTATTTTGAGACAGAATCCTGCTAAATTGCTTAGGCTAGGTTTGAATTTGGGATCCTCCTGCCTCAGCCTCACAAAGTCCTGGGCTTACAGGTGTGTGCTATCATGCCCAACAAGAAGTACAGTATTGTATTTTATTTATTTATTAAAGTTTTTTTATTGAGATAGCATCCCTCTAAGTGAGCTGGAACTCACAAATCATCCTGCCTCAGCCTCCCAGGTGCTAGGATTATATGCAGGCACCACCATACCCAGAGTTAAAATAAATTTTTTATTGAATGTTTATATGCTAAGTACTGTGCCAGTTGCTGAGGATACAACATAAAACCAAAGTCCTGCCCTCATGGAGCTTGCATGATGGAAGGAAGTAAGCAAGTATACATGTTAGATGGGAGACAAATAAAATGGGGGAAGGGAATTATTTTCTGTAGAGTGACCTGACACAGTTGTCTCCTTACAGAGGTAGCTGACAAAGGAGGGCCTTGGAGGATGTAATTACATGAGCTATGTAGATACAGACCATCCCAAGCTGAATTCTATTATCGGGGAACAAGAAAATTCTAGTATCTGGGACAAGAAAAGCTTTATATGGTCAAAGAACAGAAGTGTCCTGTATAGCTGCCCAGAGTGAAGGTAGAGAGAGAAGTACATAACAATGGGTGCAAGCTATATGTGAAGTTGTACAACCAGTGAGCAAAATGTCTACTGCTGGATGTCTGATTCCACTTAGTTTTATGCAAATTAGCTGACTTGGCCTTCATTTTACCCAGAAAAATGAATGCTCAAGTTAATGAGTATTAGCTGAGTGCACTGACACAACCCCAGAGTCCCAGCTATTTTCTGGGATTGAGGCAGGAGGATCCCTTGAGCCCCAAAATTTGAGGCCAGCCTAGAAAACATAGCAAGACCCTGTCTCTTAAAGAAAAGAAGAAAGCCAGGTATGGTGACACATGCCTGTAATCTCAGCACCCAGGGAGGCTAAGGCAGGAAAATAGCAAACTCGAGCCCTGCCTGGGCAATTCAGTGACACGCTGTCATAAATAAACAAATAAGTGAATGAATGTTTATTTTAACTACCAAATAGTTAAAAGAGCCTGGATAGTGAGATGAGAAACTCTGGTTCTAATCCCCATTCTGTGTTCCCCTATGCTTTGACCTTGAGCAAGGGTGTGTGTCAGCAAGGGTGGAGGGCAGGGGCCTCTGGATGCCGTCAGTCAATGGTGTAGCACTTGACCAGCACTCATGGACCTGGCTCCATCCTCAGCACCACATGAAGGCAGAGGGAAGTGAAGGTGAAAAGCACAAGGGCCAGAGATGTAGCTCAGTGGTGCTGAGCCCCCCTGGCAAGTGCAAAGTCCTGAGGTCAATTCCTGGTACCGAAAAAAGCACATATAAGACTATCATGGAAAATCTTCACTCTCCAGGGCTTTCAAACTTGAGTTGCAACAGGGACCAGGAAAAGTAAACATCAAGTGGTCCATGTATTTTATGAGAACTGAAAACTAGAGAAGACAAGTCCCTACATCAGGCTTATGGTCCCTGGAACTCAGTGTTGACAGATCTTCCCTGTTTTCTAAGAGAATTCATAAATTGCAGTTTGTTGTTTTTTTTTAAATTTTGAGACAAGATCTCCCTATGTAGAGTTCGGGCTGGCCTCAAACTCACTATGTAGCCCAGGCTAGCCCCGAACTCATGGTGATCCTCCTGCCTCAGCCTCCTGAGTGCTGAAATTACAGGCATGTGCCACCACAGCCAGGTTATTCAAAAAATTTTTTCAGTCTGGAGATTGAACCCAGGGCCTTCATACTAAGTTATATTCCCAGCCCTTTTTTATTTTTTATTTTGAAACAGCGTCTGTCTGAGTTCCCCGGGCTGGTCTCAAACTTGCTATTCTGTCTCAGCCTCCCTGAGTACTGAAACCATGGGCATGTGCCGCCATGCTTGGCCATTTATTCAATTTTTTTTTAACCCAAAGGACCAAAGTATAAATCATCATATGTCCAACTACAACCCGGACAGTGCAGGCAAGAAAGTTGTACCCAGCAGGGAGTTGGACAGTGTTTTCAGATGTCTGCTTATCTGAGCTATTTATATTTGCTTCTCTGTCCTTTGCCTGTTTGAACGTAGCTGCCAGATTCTGCACATGATCCAGCTCTCTACTCTCCTTCCCCACCTCAATCAAGCACCTATTTTAGGCATTAATAATGTTCCCAGAAATAAACTTTTAGTTTTGGGTTTTTTTAAACTTTTAGTTTTGTAACTAGGACTAGGGAGGAAGCTCAGTAGTAGAGCACACAGCACCCACAAGGTCCTGGCTTCAACCCCTAACACTGCAAATAAATAAGTAAAATTTTATATTTAGCATCAAGAGTCTTGACTAAAGGCTAAGTCAAAGAACGCTAGGGCCGGGGATTTAGCTCAGTGGTGCCGCCACTTGCCTCAAAAGTGCAAGGTCCTGAATTTAATCCCTGGTACCAAAAAAAAAAGAACACTGGTACATGCTTGAAATTCCAGCTACTTGAGAGGCTTAAGCAGGAAGATCACAAGTTCAGGGCCAGCCTGGGCAACTTCAATTTTAGTATATGTGCTGCCAAAGTGAGCACCTGGGTGATTTCAAAATAAAAAACAGGGCTGGGGATTTAGCTCAGTGGTTTCACCGCCTGCCTGGAAAGCGGAAAGACCCGAGTTCAATCTCCGGTACCAAGAAAACAAAAAAAAAACCAAAACATAAAAATGCACACCACTGGGGGCTGGGGATTTAGCTCAGTGGTTCTGCCACCTGCCCCGAAAGCGCAAGGACCCAAGTTTGATCCCCAGTACCAAAAAAAACAAAAAACAAACAAAAATATGTGCACCATATTGTTATGTAGAGCTGTTGTAGTCAGGGTTTTGGCAAGGGAGTACATTTACTGCAAGATACATAGTTTATTAAATTATTTTAGGATAATTACCCAAAAAGTCAAATGCAAAAGAGTGCAAGAGATTAACAACACACTAGGGGCCCAAAGAATCCTGCTGAGGGCCTGGATCCCAGCAATGTCCCACACAAATCCAGCCAAAGGCCTAGAGTCCACGGCAATGTCTCATGCTTGTCCATATCGAGGATCTGCACCTGGAAGGCCCAAAGGCCAGTGGTGGAAGCCAGAAAACCTATGCCATTGAGATGAAGGATTTGTGCCACCAAGCTAAGGGACCTACATTGGAACTCCCCTGACAAACAGCAGCCATTCCCAGTGACAGCAAGGCCCGAGCTCCTCCTCCTATGAGAACAGCCTAGTTTGTAGCAGGAAAACCATCCGCAGCAAGTGTTTCCTATAAAATCAACAGGCCAAGATCTTCCCCTCCAGTTCTCTTTTTATGGCTATTGATAATCTTCAGGTGAATCCTCCGTGCCCAGACCACGCTGATTCAGTTCAGGTGGGCGTTATAAGTTGCCCATTAGTCAATCCACCACAAGAGCTCTTCTTGAATTCTACAGCAAGAGCAAGCATTGGTACTCATGGTAGCGAAGCGATGGAAGGCACCAGCTTATCAGACCAGTGCAGTCATGGCGGCACAGTCATGGTGATCCAGCCAAGTGATGGCTTTGGAGACAGCGATGGCAGCCAACACAGCCCAAGTGGATATGGTTTGACAGGAAAACTCCATTGATTTCCAAACCAATGTCGCATAGGCAGCCCAGGAGCAGTGAAGAGCAGCTACTACAGAAGTGGAAGCTGCGTCTTCGGGCGTGAGGGAATGGAAGGCGTGTCAGCATGCCCCTTATAAGTGGTAGATGATGATGTACAGTGGACCCTTGAGTTACAACCAGCCTGACATATGAACAACTTGGGTTGCAACCATAATTTTAACTTAGGACCGAAGTCTTGGGTTACAACCCAAATGCTGGCTGCTTGTGCTTTCAGATGATCTCAGATACAGATTTAACCCTTAAAGATTTCTGGAAGGAACATTACAACATCTTTTCCTACGTGTGGTTAATTGAGAAATCCTGGGCCAATGTCACTCTAAGGACACTGAAATCTGCCTGGAAGAAAGTGTCTTCCTAAAGTGTTATAGGAGAGAGATTTTGAAGGCTGTGTAGAGGGGCCTGAGACTTCAATTGACCCTGTGGTTGATGACACTGTCACTACAGCAGAGTCCATAGGCTTACAGATAGACAGTGCTGATGTTGAACTGGTGGAGGAACACTCAGAATAATTGTCTACAGAGGAACTTCAGCAACTTCTGGCTGAGCAACAGAGAATGGCTGCTGAGGAACTTTCTGAAGACGGGGAGTATCAACAATCAGAGCAGCAAAGATCTTCTTCTGAAATAAAGGAAATCCTGAAAAAAATGGACAGAGTTACAAACATTTATAGAGAAGACCCACCCACACAGAGAAAAAGCCAATCGTAGCATTCACTTGCTTAATGACAATATCATGTCATACTATAGAACAGTGTTAAAGAAAAGACAGAAACAGAGAACCTTGGACCCGTTTTCAGTTCTGAAAAGGTTGAGACCTAGTGAGACAGAAGCAGGTCCTAGTGGACTACAGACTCTCCTAAGGAGAGAGCCAGATTCTTGATGTTTTTATGGAAGGGGACTCTCCTTCTTAACAATAACCACCTTCCATTTCATGCTCCCTTCCTGCAAGCCAAAGATGTCAACTTGAATGGTGAGTACAGTATAAAATTGTTGTTTCTGGTAAACTAGGCACATTTTATAACTTTTTGGTGAATGCACAGAAAATTATTGATGTTTCTGGTAAATTACGCACATTATACAACTCTTTTATTATGAAAAAATTAGTTAAGGGGTGCTTTTGGAGGTTCAGAACACATTATCAGTATTTCCATTATTTCTTATGGGAAAAATACTCTTGACTTACAACCAATTTGAGTTACAACAAGCCTTCTCAAATTGAGTTTGTAAGTCAGGAGTCCCCTGTAATAGATCCTGGTCACTGACTTCAGTCAACTTCTTTAGTTTTCTTGTTTCGTTTTGTTTTGAGACAGGGTCTCATTATATATTCCAGGCTATCCTAGAACTCACTATGTAACCCAAGGTGGCCTCAAATTCATGGCGATCCTCCTGCCTCATCCTCCTGAGTGCTGGGCTCACAGGCGTGTGCCACCATTCCCAGCTAAGGTTCAACTTTTTTTTTTTTTTTGGTACCAGGGATTAAACTCGGGTCCTTGAACTTGTGAGGCAGGTGGTGGAACCACTGAGCTAAATCCCCAGCCCCAGGTTCAACATTTTTTAGCACAATCATTCAAGACCAAAGTTGAGTAAACTGTAACTGTTGAAATATTTTAAGCTTTTCTCAAGTTATATTGTAGGATGTACTTAAGCAGTAGACATGCTTATGTTAAAGCAGTTGGATTGTTAAATGTTACATAGAACATTGGATGCATATTGAAAGACATGCCATTTTGTAAAACTCAATATAGGAGCTGTGCCTACAATTAAGAGCAAAACATTTGGCATGTTTGTTAATTCTTGTTGTTTCATTTAATAATCTGTATGTTAATTTAAGCTTTTTTTAATGAGGAAATTTTGAGATACAATACCAATACTTTCGTAGGATTTTGGTCTTGATGTTTGTATGAAATTCTGGAGCCTTGATTTAAATCTTCCACTGTATTGTGATTTCTTTTTATTACACTAAGTGAAAGTTGTCAAATAAATCGTTTTTAAAAAAACAAACTGGAAGGCCAGGGATTTAGCTCAGTGGTTCCGCCGCCTGTCTCACAGGCACAAGGACTCGAGTTCAATCCCTAGTACCAAAAACAAAACAAAACAAAAGAATATTTAATATGAATATTACCATGAAATGTGCTAAGTGGAAAAAGTGGGCAAGATAATTGCACATTACATAGGATAAAAAGGAAAAAAATGGAAGATGGAACTCGGACATGGTGGCACACACCTGTAATACCAACACCCTTGAGGCTGAGGCAGGAGAATAGTCAAGAGTTCCAGACCATCCTGGACCACACTGTGAGTTCAAGGCCAACCTGAATTACATAAAGAGACCCAGTTTCAAAAACCAAAACTAGGATCAGGGACATAGCTCAGAGGCACCACACTTGCCTGGCAAGTGCAAGGTCCTGAGTTCGATCCCTGGTACCAAAAAAAAAAAAAAAAAAAGGACTTAAAAAGTGTTCCTTCCCTCTTGTCAAATAACTCAGTGAAAGAATCTTTGAAATCCCTCTTGTCAAATAAATCTTTGAAAGGATGTCTTTTTTAAGCTAAAAAGTTAATATATCTATAAATAAATATAAAAAGTGTATAGTCTTTTTATTGTAGTTTTTTGACACAGGGTCTCGCTATGTAGTTCAGTCTGGGCTTGCACTCAGTATGTAACCTAGGCTGGTCTTGAACTCGAAGCCATCCTCTTGTCTCAGCCTCCTTAGTGCTGGAAAGAAGTATATAATCTTAAAACTTCTAATTCCACCTCCAGCCCAGCGTTAACTAATAACAACATCTGCAAAGACCCTTTCCTGACCTTTGTTTCCTCTGTGTAACCATGTACATCCACATTAGTTTTTCTTTTAACCTAACATTAAATCCCGCACACTTTTTCATTTCAGAGTATAGAGAGCCATCTGTTCTTTTTTTTTTTTTTCTCCCCTTTTTCTTTGTATGGACGAATCTGTTTATGACTCTTTGATGGGCATTCTGGTCGCTGTCAGTTCTACGGTTTTACAACCAATGGAGCAATGAACAGCAATAAAGCTAGCTAAGGGTAGAAAGACTGAAAAACATTTAAAATCACAAAGGGGGAACTATTTTGGTGTATTTCCTTTTTTTAACTTTTATACTTTTCTGTATTTCCCTAACATTCTGTTATGAGCCGACACATAACTTGGAAGGGAAACATGCAACTAAAAACCAAATGTTTCTTAAAGAGAAAAATAGACCTATGCAGGGGATTTAGCTCAATGGCACCGCGCCTGCCTCGCAAACGCAAGGTCCTGAGTTCAATCTCTGGTACTGGGGGGGCGGGGAGAAGAAGAAAAATATAGACCAAAAAAGCAGATAGGGCAGTCGCACCCCTTCCTGCGGAGCCGGGCGGGGAGGGGAGGGACGGGCGGAGGGTGAGTCGCCAAGGTCCGCACCAATCAGAACGCGGTTGACGGGCAGAGGCTGGGGAATTTGGAGACACTCCACGCCCCTCGAACTGCCGCCTGGTTTCGCTTCAGTAGCAAGGCTGCAAACCTGCTGGGCCTACCCTACGCACCGCTGAGGGCTGCTATTGGCTGCCGGATAAAACTCCACCCACCTTTCTGCTCATTGGCCGAGAAGGATTACGTAAGAGGAGCCTGTTGCCGAGCAAAAACGAGTACCGTAACTTCACAGAGACGTTGGGGTTGAAAATATGCTTTTTTTGTCCTTAGGTTAAAAAAAAAAAAAGCTGTCTACCATTTATTCTGCACCTGCTAAATGCCAGGCTCTGTGCTCTAGAGTTTTTAGGCAGTGATAGTTATAGCCACCTTCAGTACCCATTGTCTGCCAATCACTGAGCTAGATACGTTAGACTAAGAACAATCATAATATAAATAATAAGTATGACTGATTGAACGTTCAGCCGGCATCAAACCTCGTTAAGGGGTTTTCGGGCCTTAGCTCTCGTCCCCACAGTACCCCTGTGGAGTAAACTTTACTGCACGGTTTGATACAACAGGAAACAGGTTCAGAGATGTGTAGGTTCACACAGCTAAAAAGCAAGGGAGAAGTTGTTCTTTCTGGAAATGTGCGACTTCTGGGGCAGCCTATTAAGGTGTAGTTGGATCCAGATTGGGGGCTTGCGCTTCAAGATTCTAGTCTCCTGCAGACAACTTTCTGGCTCCCACGGAGCTGGGATTGTAGGCGTCCATCACCATCCCACGCTCAAATCTTCTCTTTTGTCTGGACCTGAGGCTTCCTTCCTGTGGGATGACAGAATAAGTCCAAACAATGAGAAGTACATTTAGGCTAAGAAGTCTTTTGGGAGACTGACTGGTCCTTGCGGGCAGCAAGAGACTATTCAGCAACCACGTGACCTTTACTTAGCTTTTGCGTGACCTCTTTGCAAGACCTTAAAGTGGTGACATGGGACCTGACAATCTTATAAACCGAAAAGTGGGGCGACCTTCAGCCCATCCTTTTTTCCGACCATTCTAGCTGAGCTGTAGCAGGGCTCTGCCTGCAGGGGGCGCTGAGGGTTCACTCAGCCGACAAAACTAACCGAACTCTTCAACGAATTGCCCAAAAGAGCAGGTTTTCATATTTTATTTAATAGGGACGAGCTTTTCCAAACCTAAAGATTTCTGTCCCCCATATGCAATAGAGGAAAGCGAATTATATGTATTGCCCAACACCAGCTCTCTGCATTGTGGCGCTGGAGGGTTAGAGCTCATTTCAAATTCCTTTGTTTTGAAGATGAGCAAACAGATTCTAAGAGCTGAAAAAAAAATTCAGTTCGGATGACAAAGCTAAAAACTAGCACCTGACTTTCCTGACTCCTGAGAAGCACTCTTCGAAGATAGCTGGCCCCGTTTCTTAGAGTTTGTCATTGTCCTACCCCTAATGCACAACTCCAGGGGACAATTTCAGCGTTGCTGGTTTAGCTCCGCAGCTCGAGCTGGGAAGACCTGGGACAATTCCTGCTCAAGGAGCAATTGAATGGGTGTGTGAATAAAATTTGGAGGATGGGTCTCCTTGGGCTTTATCAAACCAATTGGAATGAGGCTTCGTTCCTGAAAGTTCCTCATGGGCAGAAATTGTGTTCTGACCTGGTGTGGGGAAGAGACCAAAAAAAAAAAAACCCTCAGTAAATGACATCTGGGGTGATAAATTATAGCCCCCGGAATGATTGTAGAATAAGGTCATTAAAGTGAAGTGATTCCAGAATTTAAGTTCAGAAAATTAATTCAGGAAGAGTAAATACAGAACAGATGAGAATCCCATTAGAGCGATAATCTGAGAGAGGATCTGAAGCTGAAGGAATCTGAAAAATATTTCAAATCTAATCTAGAGGTGATTGTGTCTTCAGGACTGGAACGTGATTGAGAAATAAAAAATAGCTTTGGCCAATCAGTGGCCTCAATGTAGCTGATGCAAGAGTCCAGAGAATATGGCAACAGGAGGAAGAGAGCTGGACTAAAGTAAAAATGCAAGGGGAGGGGGAGGAATGTGCCCAGCCAGTATCACCACCCCCTGCAGCCCCACTGGGCTAAGAGCTTCGCTACTAGATTTTCAGAACCCAGCACAGCACCTGGTACACAAGACATGGTCAGTACTTTCCGAATCAAAGGAGGGATTTGCACCTAGTAGAGCCAGTTCAGTGATTCATTTTCTCACTGGTGGCCCCTGCTCAGATTCCAGCCGCCCTAGGCCTCTTCAGATGATAACCTGATTTTTCGTGGAAACTCCCACAGAGAGGATGTGCTGGCCCATCAATTATAGGCCCTTTGACAGTTAGGTTTCTCACTCCCAATTAATCTATCTGCTTTGAGCATCCTTCCAGGTGGCAGCCCACCTCTTACACATTCACACCCTTCTCTCATCACTGGTGTGGTGGAGTTTCTGCTGTGGAGTTATTCTGGCCCTGAGTTCTTAGTGTATTACTAAGCTACGTGACTTTAGCCAATGCACATCTTGAGCCAGTTTGGGAATCTGTCAAATGGCAGACATGATGCCTACTTCATGAAGTGATGGTGAGAGTTACAAGCACAATAGATACAGCCTGGATTCTTACTGGAGCTCAGTAAATGTATATATGTGCCTCTTCTTTCTTTTTTTTTTTTTTTTCTGCCTCTTCTTTCCTACTTTGCAGACTGGATCACAAAAGATCCTTCGATTTAGAATATCAGTATCTTTTGCTTTTAATTCTCACAAAATCACTGACTTTGTAAGTAAAACTTTGGGGACGATTCAGTCACACTCCCTCAAGAGATTCTCAAGGGGTATTCCTACCAGGAGTTTAACTCATATACATTCAAAAATATTTACTGGGGGCCTGGGGAGTCATTCAGTAGTAGAGTGCTTGCTTAATGTGCGCAAGGCTCTGGTTTGATCCCCAGCACCATTTTTCTTTTTCTTTTTTCTTTTTTTAAAACTTAGGACTCACAATATGCTAGTGAGGGATACAGAGACAATTAAATTAGATCCAGCTCCTATCTTGAAGGAATTCTGAGACAGCCTGGTGCCCTCAAAAGAAGATACTGTGGGCTGGGCATTTAGCTCAGTGGTTCTGGCGCCTGCCTCACAAGCGCAAGGTCCTGAGTTCTATCCCCGGTACCAAAAAAAAAAAAAAAAAAAAAGAAGATACCGTGTGACCTTTACAAGCAATTTTACCTACAGAGCTGCAGTTCCCTTGCTTTGTACAAATGGTCAATAACATTCCATTGTTAATTGGAGGGAAGGAGTGAGACAAGTAGAAATGATAATGAACCTAAATCAAGTTTGGAAACCAGTGGCTTAAAGTAGAATGTGTTGAAGGTATTGAGGAGTGGGTGGGATTACTTTTAGCTGAGCTGAAGAAGCAAGGCTTTTGGAGGAAGTGGCCTTTGAACAAAAGCTTCTTTCAGCCCACAAACAGGAAGGAAGGCCCAGAATGCCAGGTACAGTTTTAATGGGCAGTGATTTGCAAAAAAGGATACTGAAAGAAAAGTTTGAAGGCCAAACAAGGAGCATGGGTGTGGCCAGTGATAAGACTTTCTTTTTGGGGGGAGGGTGTCCAACTCAGAATCTTGGGCTTGCAAGGCACATGAGGTGCCACTGAACTAAATCCCCAGACCAAGACTACTTTCTTTTTTTTTTTTTTCGAAGACTACTTTCTTTAGGGGGAGGTGTGCTGGGGATTGAACCTAGGGCCTAGGCAAGTGCTCCACCATTGAACTACAACCTTAGTTCTCTCCCCCCTTTTTTAGATAGGGTCTCACTAACTTGCTCAGCTGGCCTTGAACTTGGAATCCTCCTGCCTCAGCCTCCCAAGTAGCTAGGATTACAAGACATGCACTATCATGTGCAGCTTACATTTTTAAAATGAAAGTTGAACCTGATTAAAGGGTTATTTAAAAGGGAAATTAGGGCTGGGGATTTAGCTCAGTGGTTTTGACGCCTGCTGTGCAAGGGCAAGGACCGGAGTTCGATCCCTGGTACCATAAATAAATAAATAAATAAATGGGAAATTAGCCCAAAGGAAGAATAAATGACCAAGGACAAATGACCAGCAGGACATTGTGCTAGGTAGCATAAGACAGGGGAAAAAGATGTGAAAATATAAACCCTGCCCTCAAAGACTTTATAATCAAAAAGGTCAGATAATGGTAGCACACACCTGAAATTCCCGTACCTATGAGGCTGAGGCAGGTGAGTTTGAGGCCATCCTGGGCTACATAGCAAGATCAAGTTCAGCTTGGCCTGTATAGTGGGACTCTGTCTCAAAAAAAAAAAAAAAAAAGCCAGGGCCGGGGATTTAGCTCAGTGGTTCAGGCGCCTGCCTTGCAAGCGCAAGATCCCGAGTTCGATCCCCGGTGCCAAAAAAAGAAATCTTTAACTTGCCCAGGTAGGGGTAGAACTTGCAGCCTTCCTGCCTCGGCCTCCTAGAGTGAGGGGGTTACAGGCATGTGCCACCACACCTGGCACATCAGGCCTCTTTGGCTTTTTTTTTTTTGGTACAGGGATCGAACTTGGGACCTTGCGCTTTCAAGGCAGGTGGCAGAACCACTGAGCTAAATCCCTGGCCCCTTAAAGATTTTTTAAATGGCTGGAGATGTAGCTCAGTGCAACGGCTCTGGGTTCAATCCCTAGCACACACACACACAAAAAAAAAAAGAAAAGAAGAAAGAAAGAGGATCAGATAAGACATACACAGAAAACTACAACACAAGGTAAAGTGTGAAAAGTATTAAAAGAGACCCACCCTAAGTGTCTTGGGAGCTCAGAAGAGAATGAGATATATTTCCTTTTCCCAAGAAACTGGCAGCAGAAGACTAAGCCAGAGGCTCATCTTGGGAATCCTAAACCAGACTTAGAATATCTTAGATTGGACTCGGAAGGTCTAGTCCACCCTCACCCCTATCAGGATTCCGTTTAGATTAAACGATTTTTGAATTGAAGTAACAAAAAGAAGAGTCTGGGGGGAAAAAAAAAACAATGAAGAGTTTCTCTGGGAAGTGAATAGATGAATTTAACTTTGAGGCCTTGAGGTGCTAGCTGAGGCAACTTCCTTGCAAAAGGAGACTTTCGAAGGCCAGGAAATGGATGAGATCAGAGAGTGTGTGTGGAAAGAAGAGGTAAAACAGAAACTAAGGGAGCACCCACCTCTTAGGGAGTGGGAAGAGAAAGGAGTCAGAGGAGTGGCCAGAGGGCAAAGTGGGAATAAACCCAGTTGAACACGTTGTTACGAAGTTTTGAGAAACAGGGTAACAGGGGTGGAGAACGCGACAGGAGAAGGCACCAAGGGAGAAGGGAAAAAATTGCAGCAACAGAGCCTGAGATTGGACATGAGGTTGCTGACCGCATTTCAGTGCATGGGACTTTTCCTGAGACTCCACAAAGGAGGTGGATTCCCTGTGCCTGGCACATTTACAGGTGAAGTCCTCTCCGAGGCCCGGGGGAACAGGGTGGTGTTCTCTGGCCTCCAATGTCTGGTACTCAGCTCTATAATTAGCACCACTAGATACCGCGGAGCCAAACCTCTCCCAACCCTAACCAGTCCCTCCAGGAACTGAAAAGCTGAACTCACTTGGGATGGATTTCACACCTGGCTCTCTAGCGTCCGCCCGTAACGTCCCGTTTCATCATGCAGCCCTAATGACTCCCCGGGCTGTCACTCTCGTCTGGTATTGCCAGCGATATGACTAAAGCCTCTTGCAAAAGTTTGCAGCATTCGTCGGAGGCCGACTACAGCTCCCAGAATTCCCGAGCGCTTCCCTATGCCGATTGGCTGAACAGTTGGCTCCAGAGGGAGGTGTCACCCCCGCCTCCCCGAGAAACAGACATCTGATTGGCTGCGCCGCGGGGCTTTTGTGTCCCCGCCCTCCCCCGGGGACCGCAGCGGGCAGAGCGGCGCTGCTGGTGTCAGAGCCCTGCGATCGCTGGCAGTTCCACGGCGGGGATGCTGAGGAGCGCTGGATCTGTGAGCAGCGCTGGCCACTGCGGACTTCCAAGGCATTTGGGGCCGTAAGGACCCCAGCATCGCGGCCAATCCCAGGCCCCCAAGGCCATTCACTGTCCCAGAAACCAGTCTAGGGGAAGAGTCCAGCGCAGCAGCCGTCGTCCCCCGGATCGCGAGCGTTCTGGAACCCCGAGAGACACCCCGGAGTTCCAGAAGCTCCCCGGCGGCCCCCGGCCCCGGCTTGCTTCGAGCGTCGGTCCAAGACCCCCTCCGGTGCACAGGTCGCCTGCCTGCCGCGGCCGGGTCCGGTGGACACCATGATCGTTGCAGACCCTGAGTGCCGCTCGGAGCTTCAGGGCTACCTGCCATTCGCCCGGGGTGGCGTCGGAGACCCGGGGGCCGGAGAGGTAAGCGGCGGCCGAGCGACGCCACTCTTCAGGAGCTGCGTTCGAGCCTCAGGCTGTCCGGAGCTAAGTCCGCGCGCCCCCCAGGCTCCGAGAGCGGAGTGGAGCGCGTAAACCCGAACTAGGATTGCATCAACTGGCCGCCTCCGGCCTCTGCTCGCTGCCCCTCTGCCCCTCGGCCCCTCCCCCTGCTTTTCTTCCTCTACCCCCACCCCGGCCGCGAGATCCCTCCCTGGCTCTCCTGGACCCCGGGCGAAGGAGCGGGAAGCCTTTTCGGGGCTCTCCAGGGTTTGGGCTCTCGTGGAGAGAGCGTCTTCAAGTCCAGGCAAATCCCAGCCTGAGCGGCCCGACCACTCCTCCTCCCCGCCCCCTGCGCAGTTTCCCTTCCTCTCGGCGAGGCCGGCGCGCGGTTTCCCTTCCTCTCGGCCGAGGCCAGCGGGCCCAGGACTCTTTCTAGGATCTGTCCCTGCCCTGGTCCCTACCTGGGACTAGGCAGCGAAGATCAACCCTGTCCCGACCTCGCCTGCACCCCCGATTTGGAAAGGGGCGCGAGTGCTCTTGGAGTTTGGCCGGCCGCCCGGTATGCTGCAACAGCAGCCAAAGCTGGGGAGAGAGGGGGCAACTCTGGCAGTGGTTCTGAGGAGTCTTGCTGATTAGGCTGCTCCTTATTAAGTGGTCTAGGGTCTTCGAAGTTTTTTCCCCTCCCGGCCTCCCTCAGAGCCTTGAAGGGGCTTTGCCGGGAAGCAAGGAATAAGGATGAACGTAATTCGACAAAGCTTCTGCTGCCCCCATAACAGCGGTGGCATCTTATTTATTGAACATCTACTAGATGCCAGCCTCTGGGGTTTGTCAGGTCTCTGCGTCCTCTGGGTTAAACTAGCAAATACAAGCTTATACTATAGCCCCATTTTACAGGATGAGAAAATCGAGGCTTAGGAGGGGCTGAAATGAGGCTTGGAAGGAGCTCACTAACCCCATACCTTTTTTTTTTTTTCCGTATCGGACATCGAACTCGGGACCTTGCGCTTTCCAGACAGGGCGACGGAACCACTGAGCTAAATCCCCGCGCCCCACCCCCCCATACCTCATTCTTTAGCCAGGGTCTCTTGGAGTTGGAAAGTGATTGGCACCAGAGGGAATTTTGCTTGTTTCTTTGGTTTCCTAGCCTGGAGTGTTGTGGAGGTGGGTGTGTTGCGAGGCTGAGTCAGTGGAGTGCTAGGTGCTAGAGTGTGTGACCCAGGGTAAATCTGCTCTGAGCAGCACAGTTTCTGGGGTATTTTGCAGTATTGGGAATTGAATCCAGAGCCTCTTGCATGCTAGCCAAGTGCTCTACCAGTGAGCCATATCCCCAGCCCTTTTGTCAGTTTCTTTACCATTTCCCACCACCATCTAGGAGCCCCATGTGGAGGAATCCTCACTCCTCCCTCTTCTCAGCTGAGTTGCTTATGTCTGGTTTTGTGTGTGTGTGTGTGTGTGTGTGTGTGTGTGAAAGGGGAAATTTCGTTATTATTGAAATACTTGGTCTCACTGGAGTGAGCATGTGTTGGGTTGGTATCCAGCCCTCCGCTGACTTGACTGTGTTACCTCAGCCAGGTGATCACTTCTCTGATTGCAGTTTCTTCCCGTGGGTATTCGAGGGTATCTTTGAGGGTCTGTTGGGGGAATGAACTCAGAATACAAGCAAAGGCTGAAGCACAGTGCCTGACACCTAGTACTGCATGCAACATGGTAACTGCAACCAAAATCCTAGCTACTGTCAGATCGTGGTCATTTTCTTTTCTAGGATTCATCCTTTCTGATCTAGTCCCTCCTGCCTGCAGTTGTCAAGTCTGTCTCCCTCTGGGACAGGACCTGGAAAGTGGTATGAGGAGAAAAGTGCCATAGGTAGTGTAAGCAGGCTTCAAGGGACTTAAGAGGAAGTCATTTTTCAGTGGAATGGTGGTGATGTCTGAGGTATTTCTACATATTTTTCTCTCAGGAAAAGACATTAGGAAGTAGAATCTTTAGAAGATAGTGGGGTGCCAGTCTTACAGAGTTTGGTGATCAGGGTCCAAGGAAAGGACCAGATGTCTTGAGCCTCCTTAACTCCCCATCGCTCCATCCCTCTCTTCAGACAGTCACCAGGGCTGCCCTCTATCTAGTACTGCTACTGTTTTCAAGGCTGTATTGGGCTCTAGAAGCTCCCCATGCACAAGATAAATTTCTTTGCACACCCTCTTCCAGTCCCCTTCTCCATGACAGGAGTTTTCGGCCCAACTATGTGAAACAGTTACTTGGTTCACATAAGTCAAGTGTTGCTCCTCAGGCTCCTTTGCCACAGACACCCCCTGCAAGTCTCATCCCCAATACTGCCCTCTGCCTTTAATCACTGCTCACAGTGATCTCACCCTGGCTGGCTTAGCTGCTCCTTGTAAACTGTTCTGGCTTTGAGGTCAGATCTGAGTTGTGCCTGGCTAGAAGAGGATCTTTTTGCACTTACCAGAACCTGTCTCTAAAGAAGGGATAAACAATACCTGTTTCCCTTGGGATAGCTGTGAGGATTGGTGAGAGGACATCCAAAGCTGGGTGGATGACAGGGGCTGCTTATGCTATTCTTCTCTCAGGTGCAAACATAGACAATTACCTGAGTTCAGCTGCTAGGAGTGGGGTGGAAGTATGTGCCCCTTCCTGGCTAGCATAGTGACTTAACAAGTCTCTGTAACTGAGACCCAGAGTTTGTAGGCCCAAATATTAAGAACAAAGATGGAGGGGGCCTGGGATTTATCTCAGTGGTGCCCACATCTGCCTCGAAAGCACAAGGTCCTGAGTTCGACCCCCCATACCAAAAAAACAAAGATGGAGTTACTCCAAGAGGCCAACCAGATGGTGGACAAAACCCTGGGAAGCCAAACTAAGCTGGATTCAAATCTTCAGGCCTGCAGCCACTTCCAGAAGCTGTTAGGCTGCATTGTAAAGGCCCTCAGGATATCAGGCATTCCTGGATTTAAATTGCAGATTAGCCACTCATCAGCTGGTACTTTACTTTTAGACCCTTGATCTTTCCTTGTGTGCAAATTAGTGTCCCCTTTATCCCAAAACTAATGAAGGTTATGTGGAACCTTCCTGCCTGTACCTGAACTGATAGAAAAGTTAACATCTCCTAGGGCACTTGAATTGGAAGCCTGACCCTGAGCTCTGAGGCAATTATCCTCTTTTTACCACTGGTCTAAAGACCTCCTGTTGAGTAACCTCCTAGAGGGTCTGACTTCATTGTTCCTGCTGTAGCAGTTGGAATTATAAAGAACAGCCCTCTTTGGTCTCCCTCTGCCCTACATTACCTGTGTTCCTTGGGCAGATGAACTCGCCCCTCTGGTTTTCCCTTTTTTCATGTGTAAAATCACAAATCACACCTTTATCAGATGTGCTGCACCTAGGCTCACTGGCAGTTAAGATAGCCTGAGATGGTGTGGTGGGGCTGTAACCCAGCTACTCCCAGCTGGAAGTAGAGGCTGAGGCAGGTGGAATACAAATTCAAGGCCAGCCTGTGTAACATAGGGAGAGTCCAAGGCTCCATCGCCAAAAAATAAATTCAAATAACATGAAAGTGTCAGTTTTTTTCTATTGCATTAGTCACATTTCAAATGCCCCCCACCATATGTATTAGACAAGGAGAATGTAAAATATTCCATCATCACAGAAAGTTCTGTTGGATTTCCCTGTGCTAGACACTGTAGTAACAGTGGAGAACTAGAGGCCAGGTCTGTCCTCGAGGTGAGAAACAGTGAGAAATGCTGTGATAAGGGGACCCCAATGGACCCTGGGCCCTTGGGTAGAGACAAGAAGCAGCTCCCTCTTGGTGAACCCCAAGGTGCAAAAGCCCAACAAGTCTTGAGACCCTAAGAAGTTTGTAGACCTGAAAAATAGTTCCTGAACATGGAGGAATCTGGTCCAACTCTCCCACTACCTCCTTTCCGGCTGAGTGACCAGAAGTAACTTAACCTCATTAAGCTTTATTCCCTGTCTGTAAAATGGGATTATAGTGATCTCTACCTTGAAGTCTAGGTGGTCCCTGTGAAGTCACTACTTGGCCAGTGGTATACCTTGTCCGTGTGGCCCCCTACCCTCAGGGAATGGGGGGAGGGCTGGGCAATGAGACCTGCCCTGCCCGCTTTCCCCAGACACCCACCCCCATCCCCAAGGTCAGGGAAACATCCAGGGTATTGGACCCATAGAGTCTTATCTTGGGGTCTTCCTTTCAGGGCTTTATAATCTCTATTCCCTGTGGCTGGAGTGCTGGTCCCCTACATGGTTTTTTGGTTTTTGGGGGGGTACCGGCTACCGAACTCAGGTCCTTGCGCTTGCGGGGCAGGCAGCGGAACCACTGAGCTAAATTACTGGCCCTTGGTCCCTTACATCTTCACAGGCCCTGCTGCCCGCTCATCAGTTAGATGTGCACCCAAAGGCCACCTCCCCAGTGGCTTTTCCTATCTGCTTACACTGAAATATCGCCCACTCTCCACCCTACCATCATTATATTCATTGCTCTATTTCATTCACTTTTTGTGAATTGAAATCCTATTCATCATTTGTCTTTCTCCACAAGTCCAAAAGTATATGAAGGCTGAGACTTTTGCCTTTTCACTGTTGTATTCTTGCTGCCTGGAATATAATCATCAAACTCTTCACCAAATTCCACCTGGAAAGCACTTAGCACGAGGCCTTATACTTGAGAAAATGATCAATAAATAGTGCAAATAATTGTCTTCATCCTGGCTCCTGCATTTTACTGGGGCCCCACCTCAGACCAACTCAATTAGAATAGTTGGGGGTCAGACCTTGGTACTGGTATTTTTTAAACCTCTCTGAAAGGAATTCTAATGTACTGCTTGGGCTGAGAAGCTCTTGTTTGAAATAACAATGAGGTTAATGATGGCTGACTTTTATTAAGTGCTTTGGGGGATGGAAGTGCAGAATGCCTTGTAGTATTATCTCATTAAATCCTCAGGAAGACCCAGTGAAATTAG